GGTGCATACCTATAATCTCAGCACTCGGGAGGCTGAGGCAGGAGGATTGTTGCGAGTTCAAGGCAAGCCTGGGCTCCAGAGTGAGTTCAAGGCCAGCCTGAACTACATGGCAAAACCCTATCTCAAAAGAAAACAAAATTTTTTAAAAATATAGTTAATAAAGCTAGTACTTACCTACCAGTACCTACAACAGAAAGGAAATTCTTTTTGAGATGAGATTCCAGTTGTTCTTCCAGTGACCAAAATGACCATATCCTTTACCACTTGGACTATCTTGATAGGTTGTCCATTACTTATTACTGTTATAAATTTATGAAACTGTTTTATATATTATACACTGGCACAACTAACCTGTTCTTTGTAAGTCACATCAGAAATTTTACGCATCAACTGACATTTAGTTACTATTCCACAGTGTGATTTACCAGCCAATAATTTAATTTCTTAAGTCACCATCTCTGCCACTTTTACCTTTATTCTATTTTATTCTGATGACAAAAAGCGTGAAACATGAGCAAAAACCTTCTTCCTCCTTCATATGTACTAGGTAATATCTGATAAGCACTGTACATTGATTATTTCATTTGTTCTTCACAATAATCCTATGATGTAGAGAATTCTGTCATTCCTATTGTACAGATAGAGACATAGAAGTAACATAACTTGTCCAAGATCATACTGCTAATAAATTATAAAGATGGAATGAAATGTATGGAGTCTATTTCCAGACTTTTATTATAATCACTGTGCATTCTCTGTAAACTAATGTCCTTACATTTAATACACCTGAGACAACAATAGAAATTAGTAGAAATGACATAAGTAAGGAATCTTTAGGTATAATATACTCCACTGTCAAGAACAAATAACAAACTTAAAAAAAACATGCACAATGGATTACAACTTTATCCATCAAGACTGCCTACACAGTAAAGGGTCTTTTACTTTGTTTTTATCAGTACTGGGGACTGAACCCACAGCCTCATGCATACTGGATGAGTACCCTGAACACTGAGCTACATCCCCAGCCCGATGGTGAAGTTTAATTACTTTAAATTTTTAAACCTTTTCCTCTCTTACATGAGAATGGCCTATTTAAACTTGTTTACATATTTTTCATATGTAGTATTTTTTTATTTTTACTTTGTTTTGTTTTGTTTTGTTTTCTGATACAGAGGCTATACTCTGGACTCCAGGCTTGCCTAGAACTCCCTGTGTAACCCAGGCTGGCTTTGAACTTGTGGAACTCCCCTGCCTCAAGCACCTGGGTACTGCGGTTACAGGTACGCACCACCATGCCAGGCTCAGCTGTGCACATTTGTAAAGAGTACATAATGCACGTAAGCGGAAAGCTGGCTCTCACGTAGTTTGATTTAGTAACCCTTTATTCATCACCCACTATTCACTAGGAGACAAAAGAGATACATAAATGTAATCAGAACACGAACTCTAAATACTACATGCTCACAAATGAGTGAAATGTATCATAAAATAACAAAGTGACAAAGAGCAATAAAGGAATTATCTGAAAAGTGAAAGTGTGCTGTGTTATTGGAATAATTCACTTTACCAAAGAGGGGGGAGGCAAGAAAACTAAGGCTTTCAGAGCTGGGGATATGTTCAGGTTGCACGTGAATAATGAAGCAGAAAGACAAATGGGTGGTATAAGATTCTGGATAGAGATCTTGGACAGAAAAGACAGTGTAAGTGTACAAAAGTAGTCAGCACAGCAAAGCAAGCTGACGAAGTTCATGTAGGTGATGTGGTTGTAGCATAAAATTTAAGGCAGGACATGGAAAAAGATGAGTTGGAGTAATGGTTAAATCAAAAATCTCCATTAGAAGTACTCAGACTCATGATTATGATTCACTAAAAACGTGGGAAGGAACCAACCTACCTATTCATTCCTGTGTTTTCATCCTCAAAAATAAATATTCAATGAGCTGGGCATCGTGGTGCATACCTGCTAAAGCAGGAGGACTGTAAATTCAAGCCCAGCCTGGACAACTTAGTGACTTAATGAGACACTGACTCAAAATTTTAACAAAGGGCAGGGCATGTAGTTCAGTGGGAAAATTGTAGATTCAATCCTAATACTGCTAAATGAATAAATAAATATTTAGTGAGTGTTATTTCCCTAACTTTCAAAGTGAGCCACCTCCCATCCCCAAATAAAAAGCAAAGTCATAACAAAGTAACAGCTAAGTATCTAATTTCTTGTGACCAAATACTGTACTGAGTCAGAAATTATACAGCATAATAGAGCAATAAACCTTACAATCGAAATAACTGTTATTTTTAATTTCTTAGCAGCAAGAAATTTAATGAAATGTTATCGTATTTCATTCAGTTGGAACAATCTATGATTATTATAGTTTAATTCTGGATCAAATATCATAGTTTAATTCAAAATATATAAACAACTCTAAGGAGCAGGAAATCTTTCTTTTCTGTTGTTGTTGTTGTTTTTTTATTTTTTGGAAACAGGGTCTCATTACGTAGTGCAGGCTGGCCTTCAACATGCTTATGTAGCCCAGGCTGGCCTCAAACTCATGGTGATGATCCTGCCTCAGCCTCCCGAGTGCTGGGATTACAAGGAGCAGGAAATCTTAACTAGATTTTATTTCAAACTCTACTTCCAGCTGAAAGGTTATTGAGAGTCTAGATTTGGAGCTAATACACAACACTAACAGTATTATCATTTACAATGTTATACATTTTCAAACCCCTTAACATTCACTATTTTTAATGAGTTTATTGTGGAGGTGTCATTCAATGTAATAAAAGTAACAGGCAAATTCATGCACAGCAAGAATGAGGGCAACAGAAAGAAATCAACTACTGAACAGAGACATCAACTATGATCAAGCTATGGAAAGTACATGACATAATATTCCACGACTACTCTGTCAGATATGTGCAAGACACAATATGACTCCCAGCACAGAGGTAATCTACAAAAAGTAACATCAAAGTTTGCTCTGCACAGAACTCAGTGCAGCTCTTCTGTGAAGACCAGCCCAAAAACAATTCGTAAAAACCATACCCTGCAGAGTAGCACTGGTAATAAACACAGTTAAATAAAACTCAACTAAGCCCTTCCATTGGGCCCAAAAGACCAACTAATATGCAGTTCAATTACAGTACTGAGCTTGTGAGAGTGGTAAGAGGCCCTGTAATCCATTAACTAAGCCATAACCAACTGCCTGGTTGACTGACTACACCCAATTAAGTTTTTTCTATCCCTTGCTTCCACTTGCCTATAAATGCTAACTGATCGCGTTGATACGTTGTTGAATAGGGTTCTCAGAATCAACTCTGCTCCTGGGAGATGCCTAATCTGCAAATTTTGTTTTGCTTTGTTTTGATACGTCTTTATTCAAACCCTACTTGATATAATTGGCCTAAGGAATTTTCCTATTAATAACAGTGAGGGAGATTCTATGGTAAACTTTGTTGTTATCATTGTTTGAGACAGGGTCTCACTATGCAGTTCACGTTGGCCTTAAACTCACGAGGTAGCCCAGCCTGGCCTTGAACTCCTAGTGCTGGAATTACAGGCATGCATCACCATGCCTGGCTTGGTAAATTTTACTTTACACTCTGAAATGACAACTTCAGGAAGACAAAACTTGATGCAGAGACAAAATAAATGTATCACAAAGGGAGATCTCAATGTCAGCACAGATGCAGGTATGGTCTAGGTATTAGGGTTATGGCATTAAAATAAAATTGATAGTTGAAGCTTCCACTTCTAGGTTAGATTACCTAAATTTCCATCAAGGTATCCAACAAATACCTGAAAATACTTAGAACCACTACTGGTGATTTATATCCTACTCCCAACTTGTTCATCTTTTTTTTTTTTTTTTGGTCTTTTTAAGACAAGGTTCACTATGCAGTTCAGGCTGGCCTTGAGCTCACTTTGTAGCCCAGGCTGGTCTTGAACTCGCAACGATCCTCCTACCTCAGCCTCCAATTTGTTCATTTTCAATCTTAGGAGAAATCATAAAACTGACGGTATTTTCTTCTTTGTACCGGCTCCTAAAAGCTGCAAAGTAAATGTGCGGCGAACACACACGTGTGTAAGACTTGAGTAAACCTGCTCCTATCTGTTTGCCTTCACCACCTAATTCTCAGTTTTTCTTTCTTCATCTGAACAATTTTGTACACTATCTTAAATCTTTTCTGAAACGAGAATTAAAATGAAGCAATTTTCCTAAGAGGCCCCATGGGCCATGCCCTGGATGCAAAGGAGACCACTGGAGATCGGTCTGCCCTCTGAGGTGGAGGCCCCAGAGCTC